AGAGAAAGCAGCTTTTATGTATTTTATTTTATTTTATTTTATTTCATTTCATTTCATTTCTCATTTTATTATTTTTACCAGCTTTCATTATCTTCGTAATCCACCCAAATTATTTACACACATGTGCACACACACACAGAATAAGTAAACCATAAAATATAAGGAAGAAATGAATACTTACAGCCCACAAATAAAACTGTTCCAGCATAGGGAGGAGGGTATGTTCCTGGCCTATCCATTATACACCAGGCATTAAATCCAGAATTAACTTCAGTACTAACATTTTGCACAAAGAGTAACTTGCTCCACTTGGTGAGAGGGGCAGTCTCACACTGCAGAAAGTCACATGAACCATAATCAAAGACCATAACAGTGTCTTCAGCTTTGTGTATACAGCAGAAAGTCACATTGGAACCTGCTGCCACCACTTTATCTAATGGGTACATTTTTGTGACGTTGCCTGTATCATATCCTGTAACAGAAAAGACAGGAGTCAGGAAGGACGGAATTGGCAACATTTGATCACCCAGTGGAACAGCTGCACACCACAACATATTTACAGGCTCAACCTCTGGGGTAGTGTTCCTCAACCGTGGCAACTGTAAGACATGTGGACTTCAACTGGCTGGGGCATTCTGGGAGTTGAAGTCCATATGTCTTAGAGTTGCCTAGGTTGAGGAACACTGCCCTGGGGAATTATAGCCACTAAACAATCTCCATCACAATGAATGGGAAGCACAACAGAACACAGATGCCATTGAGAAGGTACAGTTAACAGACAACTAAATGACTCATTGTGAAAAAACTCAGACTCTAGAAAAACAGAGGCACTGATTCTGGATGTGAAACCAACTAAACTCACAACATTTGTTTTACTATAGAGATTCCCAACATTTTTGCCCCACAGACACCCATATTGTTTTGAGAACATGTGATGAGCACTCTCACAAAATGCCAGAAGGTAAACTGATGAAATTATACCCATCGTTCCCTTTAACCTCTCAAGATGCCCTCTACTGCTTCAGCTTACAGTTGTAACGTTTCTGGGCAGGTGGACACATTTCTAAGCAGATCATTGGTTTGCAACACTACCATTTTTATGTTCTCAGAATGTCTCTAGGTATGTGCGGGGTCCATTAGTATTCTTGGAAATTGAGAAGATGCTTGAAACTGGCATGTTACTTTACAGCATCTCTCTCTCTCTCTCTCTTTAAATTAAAATAACCTAAAACAACAACAGCAGCAGCAACCCAAAATAAAATCAGAGGGAGCATGGAGCTGACAGGCACCAAGGGAACCCACAGATGCCATACTGGGATCCAGGCTCAGCAATTCAATAAGGCAACAAAAACAGCTGCTGATTGTAACACCTGCTATGAATACATCTTGTAAACTATGGTCCATGGAGACTTCTGAACATCCAGAGGAGCCTCCAGGCACTGTAGGAAAACAGTGCTTATCTTTCAACCCAAACAGAATCACATAGGCATATGGCTATACTGCAAGAGAAGACAACTTGTGCCCCTCCAGTTTACTTCAATTCTTTGCATGCCTCACTATTGGTCATCCTTCTTCAGGCTACTGGGAGATAAGGCTTAGCAATAAGTTGAGGGCCACAGATCCTCTACTTCAGCAACGGTGCTTCTAGGGGGCCTGTGGGGTTGCTGCTGTTTGAGTGCCATATAAATGGACATTTAGGAAGAAAACTAACCAATATAGGCCCTCATTCTGTGTACACAATAGACACTGGATGCATTTGGGAAGTTCTTCAACCAAGAGCCCCTTCTACTGTTGCAACCAATATCTATAGCCTGCTGTCTATGATTCAGGATGTAATAAACAGCCATTGGTATTAGTAGCTATTGATTGATACCCCATAAATCAGCCCGAGTTCTTTTTCCCAAACATCCAAATTACTTGTCATTACCATGACTGCTAGCGGTGAATTCCACAGTTTAATTACATGTTGTGCCAAAAAGCATTTCCTTTTTTCAGTCCTGAGGTATCCCATCCCCACCCATGACTTATAGCACCTTCCAGAATCATCCAACTACTGGACAGCAGTCATGGGGATAGGCTTGTGTTGACTCCGCAGTGGGTGCGTGATGTTAAAAGATGTTCAAAGTGATTAGTGGGGAAATGACACAAATCTCTTCCATTGAGTTTTAGCAGAATATTTCAACTTCTACACTGTAAGAGAAGGACGAAAAACATCTCCCTATCTTTGTTTTCCATCCCATGCGTGATGTAGTTTCTCCTCTTACTCTCCTTCTTGTCAAGCTAATACAATCAATAAAAATAGCTTTACTACAGGTAGGTTGCAATTAGTGAGAGTTCAAATAATGCAACATTTGATTTAGTGCAGATTGTAAATTGATACCAGGTTGCATTTAATGAGTCCCAAAATTCAGTTAATGCAAGGTTAGTGCACGTGCAATTGAGGCTAGTGCACGTGCTGTTGTGGTTGCGGTTTTCGATGCTGCTAATCTTCGTGTGCAAAATGGAAAAAAGGAAGATTCTGTCAGAGGAAAACAGCGCAAGTTTTAAAAAGAAGAGACTTGTTATTACATTAGAGCAAACATTTGATGTAATTGAACAACATGAATGTGGTCATAGCAATGCTAAAATAGGACAAGGTTGGAATGTCTGAATCTACGGTAGAATTTTTTTGTTTTTATTTTGCTTTCTATAACTATTCTGGGACTTTGTTAACCATTAATTTAAATCACAAGTAGATTCTTTTTATTCTTTACTGTAGCATTTCATATGTATGTATGTATGTATGTATGTATGTATGTATATGTATACACACACACACACACAAATTTATGTTTAAAATGTTTCATTGCCTATTTCCATCGAGCTGGAACCCATTACCCTATTTTCCATAGAAATTTCACTTCAAATAGTGCAAATCCAAATAACATGCCCATTTCATGGGATTCAATAACCACGCTAACCAAGACCTACCTGTATTCATCAGTTTTGCAGAACATTTTTCAGACAGGAATTCTGCAAAAAGGCTTTGCATGTATGTTTATTTTTTAAGTTTGTACTGCTTTTCTTGCCTGAATGGGTCAAGGCACCTTCCATAAATTTAAAATGCTTCCAACTTTTGAAATAAAGTATATACTACCAGGAACAAAAATGAACAGCTCTGGCATGATTCAGACATAGCAACAATGCAATGGATGAAGCAACAAACCTTATAGAATTACGGGTTATTGTTCCTTCTTACAACAAATATTTCTAATTTTCTTCTACTCCTATTGTTATATAACTAATGTGGTTATTCTACTGATGCAAAATGTATTGCCATTTGAAATCACTTCTTCCTAATATAATTTGGGTATCCCAGTTTAGTTTATTCATTGTTTCACTTCAGCCATATATTAGGCTTTTCTGATTTAGATTTGGATTATTCCAATCTTTTAAAAAAAGGATATATCTAACACATATAACACATACACCTAGTTATATTGCATGCTGTCAGAGTCTTCTAGTAAAAATTAGAATAGAATGTAAATCAGAATCTAAATGATTCTGGAATTACCTTTACTTCTGGCACAACATTTGAATCAGAACTTTAATAGTTCTCCCACATTTTCCTATTTCTAGCAATAGCAATATCAAAGATGGTTAAAATTCAATCTTTCACCTATTTAGAAAATAGCAACACACAGAGAAAAACTCTTGGTACAGGGGTGAGAAGAGAATGAGCCAGCTAGTTATTCATCTAATACCTTGATACACCATCAATGTTGCACATTTGATAATACTCTTCTTATTCCAAAATTTGGGCTCAACTGCCTCATCTTACCTGAAATATTTGCAAATGGGCTCCATTCACTCCACATTTTCCTTCCAGCAAAGTCTTTCTCGTGAAGGAAACAGCGGATCCTAATGTAGTGAGTAGTGCAATTAAAAGGCAGATCTGATGTCCATTCCCAATGAAGGAGTGTGTCATTGCTGGCAACTGATGTAGTGTTATAGGTCCCCTAAAAATGTAAAAGATTTGTTCCAAAAATATATTTACCAGAGTAACTAATCACAGCAGTGCTAATGTACAAGACCAGAATTTAGGCAAAAAGAAGAATCTATTAATGCTCATTGTATTCATGCAGATTTCCCCATCCTTTCTCACCCCTTACTGAGCATGGGGGGTGGCTAAAAGAATCATATTGCATTGGAAAAGTGATATTATTCCAGATGCTAAGGAACAGTTTTCGGAAATGTGTGATCTATCTGTTTTGGAAAAGGTAGTATTTTCTGCTAATCAAAGGGTGAAGCAATATGTATTACTATGGCAGAGATTGTGATATTTTACAATAATATTTTGTATTGATCATATTATAGTAGTATATGGAAGGTATTAGTAAACCAGTAACTACTGATAAGTATAATACATAAGATATTTTCTTCCCTTTTCTCTGTCTTAGTTTGAGATTTTTTCCCTAATCCTTTTCTTCTTTTTTGGGGTGTGTGTATGTGTGTTTTTTTTTTTTTTTTA